CCAATCTTTGGTTCATTCATTTTTTTCCAGCTGTTCATTCATAAGTAGGAAAAGCTGCCTATTTAGGATCCCATTCATTCTGAGTGGTGTCTGTATCCATTCATAGTCAGTGTTGAAATTAGTATATAGAGTTAAACCTATCTATCTCATCTGACATAGTTCAGATCCCTAGAACTGCAAAGAATACTGTTTAAAGCTAAAACTTAATGCCATTTAGGCAGAGAAGAATCACCCTTAGCGCCTGAAGGAGGAAGCACTGGGAGGGTCTTGAGTCATATCAAAAACCCAAGGCACTTAACAATCATGATTCTGTAGTAGCTGACAACCGACTGGCTTTTTTATTTCAGCTCTCGGGGAAGGAAAAGACAACTTCGCACAGTGCCCCGTGGAAGCACTCAAGTGGGAAGAGCGGAAGTGTCTCATCCTAGAAGAAATCCTAGCCTACCAGCCTGACATCTTGTGTCTCCAAGAGGTGGACCACTATTTTGACACCTTCCAGCCACTCCTCAGCAGACTGGGCTATCGAGGCACATTTTTCCCCAAGCCCTGGTCACCTTGTCTCGACGTAGAACATAACAATGGACCAGATGGCTGTGCCTTGTTTTTCCTCCAGAACCGCTTCAAGTTAGTCCACAGTACCAATATCAGGCTGACGGCCATGGCATTGAAAACCAACCAGGTGGCCATTGTACAGACCCTAGAGTGCAAGGAGTCCAGTCGACAGCTCTGCGTCGCTGTCACCCACTTGAAAGCACGATCCGGCTGGGAGGAGTTTCGATCAGCTCAAGGCTGTGATCTTCTCCGGAACCTGCAGAACCTCACCCAAGGAGCCAAGATTCCCCTTATTGTTTGTGGGGACTTCAATGCAGAGCCAACAGAGGACGTCTACAAAAATTTTGCTTCTTCCAGCCTCAACCTGAGCAGCGCCTATAAGCTGCTGAGTCCAGATGGGCAGTCAGAACCTCCGTATACTTCCTGGAAGATCCGGACCTCGGGGGAGTACCGGCACACCCTGGACTACATCTGGTATTCTAAACACTCGCTGAGTGTGAGGGCAGCTCTGGATTTGCTCACTGAAGAACAGATTGGAGCCAGCCGGCTCCCATCCTTCAATTATCCTTCCGACCACCTGTCTCTAGTGTGTGACTTCAGCTTTAATAAGGAACCTGATGGACTTTCATAAACACTTTGTAATCACAAGTCTTAACCAGGGATGTTTCAAGAAAACTGAAGTTAGGATACGTTGCCTGAGGAAGGATTCCCAGTTTCTCTCACTTCACTTTCCATGTTTCCAGCATGCCTCAGGGAAGGAATCCCACTAGTTAACAAACGTTTTCCATTAAACCCTTCAGCGAAAAAGGTGTTTGCACTCCAGTTTTGGCTTGTTTTTTTTTTTTCCTTTCCCCTAGCATTAAATTTAGATCAATTAAGGGCATTAGTCTTGTTTTGAAGCTTTCAGTTTGATGACGCTATATAAAAATACTTTGTCTTCCATAATTAACAAGTATGCAGGAACAATTTCCTCTAGACAGTATTTCAAGTTATTTATTTGTGGTTTTAAGTATCAACAAGATATGCATGGCAGTATTTATTTTTTATATCTTCATGTGAAAATAATAGCATTACAAACATTTAAGAACCATGCAAAATGTAAGTTAGAGAGTAATTTATAGTAATTTTCTTAAGGCTTTAAGATGTTTTTATTTGGGGTCTAACAAAATAGTGTACAAAGGAACTATTTAGCCTGGAGGCCCCAGGGGTTTGTTTTGTTTGTTTGTTTGTTTTAAGTGGAAATAGCTGGTCTCGATAAGTTCTTCATAACAATTCTTGCTGTGCCTCCATGTTCCCCATTATTGTATTTCTTGAAGATTCCATGACCAGTTGGTCTTTGTTATTTAATCACTGCTATGCATTTACAGATTTCTGTTGGAATGCTATTGGTATACATTTGATTTGTGGCCACTCAGTGTCACAGTGATTTGTATTGGAATGTGCTGTTCACGATGGGTTATTTAGGAGCAGTGGCTGGTAAAGTCAGGGAGACCTTCTTTTCAGAGATGGGCAACCAGAAAGCCTGTTCACAAGGCTGTCATTGCAATTTCCTAAGACAGCCAGGTGACTGGCTGAGAGTGTCTAGAAAGAATGTAAAAGGAAAGATAACCTGGAATTCTCTTTCCTTGGGGGAAAAAAGTGGTCAAGATAACAGGTGAAGCCCCTTCCAAACAAAATCCCAGCAAATAACCTATGGGTAATAAATTGAATATTTTAATCCATGAATTGTATATATTTAAAATTAATAAATGGTCTTTTGAAACTAGTACTTTAATATCTTGTATTTTTAGTCCAAAAAGAATCTGGGGTAGATTTGATCTTTTATACTGACTTCAAAGAGGGAGATATAAAAACCTCAATGATGCGAGAGATTCATTAATCGGCTGGCTGCCTCCTGCACGCCCCACACTAGGAATCGAGCCCACAACTCGGGCATATGCGCTGACTGGGAATCAAACCCAGGACCCTTCAGTCCACAGGCCAACGCTCTGCCCACTGAGCCAAACTAGCTAGGGTGATTTGATCTTTTAATACTGTTAACATGGTGGGTTCACACTATTCATTTACACACAGATATTTATTTTAAAAGTGAACAAAGCAGATCTATAGCTGCACATTGAAGGCATCTCTCAGTGCCAAGGATGGAGCTCCCAAAGGGGTTCACCCAAGTATTCTGCATTGGAACCACTTGTGAAACAAATGAAGTTTCTCAGTACATTGTATACATAAAATCTTGGGGCTACCTGGAAGGAATGGCAAGCAGACAGACCATCCATACTATTTGGTTCAAATCTTAGCATGACGAATAGTAATCATGTTGCTGAGAAACAACACTAATTACAATACTTATATGTACAGGCATTAAATATTGTTTTCCTACCCCAAGTACACCAATCTGAAGAGAGATCATGACAGCCTTGAGTAAACAAATCTGAATGAGAATGAAAGTCAAATAATATGTGAATTTCAGGTATCCAACAATAGTCACCAGCCACTTATTGAGAGGGACATGTTCTGAGAAATGCATCATTAGCGGGTTTCAGCATCATGTGAACATCATACTTACACAAACTGCGGTGGTACAGCCCACTACACACCTAGGCCGAAGGATCGAGCCTATTGCTCTGTAGGGGAGGGAAATAATGTTCACTCTATCCTTTTAGGTTCTTATTTGAGACATCCCTGTAATAAAAGATTAACAGGAGAAAAATTTAATAACATGTATGCTTTCTGTATACATGGAGACCCAGGAAAACACTCGAGTAACTTTGCCAAAGTGGTTGGGCCACCACCATAAAGACTACAGCTGAAGACAATCTGTTAGCGGTATGGGGAGTCAGTTATGGGAGGATACTAGGAAAAACACAAGTAAGAGGGAGGTTGTCATGGAGGGCAAGGAGTAATGGGTTACTGGCAACATCATTTATTGAGCAAAGAGGAAGAGATTTCAGATGGATGAGTTGGACATTCAGGAGGAAATAGCCAGTTGGCAATTAGATAAACCCATCTAAGGCCTAAAGAATAGGCTAGAACAATATATTTGGTAGTAGAAACCATAAGAATGAATGAGATTGTCTAACATGTTGAGATGATATAATAAACATTTTAATAAGAGTGCTATGTGCCAGGCACTGGTTCTAAATCCTTAACATATTAACTCAATTCTTACAACTACTCTAAGAGCCCCATAGACATTAAATGGGAAAGCTGAAAGGAAAGCAAAGTCAACTAAGAGTTGGTCATACAGGAGGAAAACTGCAAGAGGGATGTTATGGAAAACCCAGAGAATGTAAAAAGGCTGAGAAAAAATAAAGCAGTTTGACTTGACCACTATATTACTGGAGACTTCAATGGTAACTGTTTCTAAGTCAGAATTCAGACTGTAATTAAGAAAAAGACAGAATGATGGGCTATTAAGTGTTGGAACAAGGGAAAGAAGTAGGTGTGAAAGGGAAGATGCTGAGTACAGGAAGAAGGCACATCTGTCTCTCTGGAGACAGGTGGTGGATGCATGCTGGAATAAGATGGTCTTACAGCAAGGGTTCCAGAGTGGGGGAGTTTACAGCTCATGACCTCCATGTTCCCTAAGAGGTTTGCTGGTTATTTGGTAAGCAGAGTGCTGAAGGTTGGAATTGTTGCTGGAAGATGACCTGAGGACTATGTGGACAGAATGCTGATCAGTCATTGTTCAAAAGCCTGGTGAGGCTGGAAACTAGACACATCAAGCTATTATTATATGGTTTTCCAATATGCTGGACACAAAAAGCAAATATAATGATCTACGGTTCAAAAGGGTTGAGACTAAAAAGCATACACCTGGTAATATCAATCACCAGAAGCACTCCAATCAGTATGTGCTGTGAACATGTGTTTCACAATTTAGACCATAAGTGTACTTATTCTGAAAGATGTACCCAAAAGTATTCAGGTAGAGCAGTGGAGGAAGCTAGGTAGTCCTGGCTTCACCTAATTAGAACCAATTAATATAGCATAGGGGGAATTACTAAAAATTTAAAGTTCCTTTACCCTCCATAGCACATGACATATTCGTAGCAAATGTTACCAAAATCAAAAAATGTCCGTGTTCCATATGCTCAGCACTTGAGGAGGGGTGTAGGTATGGTAGAGTATGTAATCTTTACCCTAGATCAGTATTATGGATGAAATTGCCGTGCAAAAAATACAGTTGGGGTGGGGGGTGGGGGGAGATTAACCAAAGAATTTATATGCATAACCAATGGACACAGACAATAGTGCAGAGAAGGCCTGGGGGACAGGGGAGCGGAGTAGAGGGGGTCAAGTTGGGGGACATCTATAATACTTTCAACAATAAAGATAAAAAAAAATTTTTTTTAAAGAATACAATGAATTGCCAGAGCAGAGTAGGGAATGTTTAAAAAAGTAGAATTTGAGATTAACTTTCAAATGGGATAAGAATCAGGTGAGGGTTTTTTTGAGCTTTTATTAAAAGGTACCATTAGGTATGTTTATGGAAAAGATAAAAAGATTACAAAGGGAGGTGTTAAAAAAAAATCTTTGTCAATTTAAGTAGTATCAGATGAAATGAACAATTAAAGGCCACAAAATATTAAGCATCAGTTTATTTAAATTTCTAAAAGATGTAAAAATAGACAACTTTTCTTTGTAATAGAAAGAGCATTAAGATGTAGAGTCACACGACCTAGTCCAGTGTGAAATTCGGAAACTCCTGTAATCCCTCTGGACCTCCAGTTCCTCATGTATAAAAGAGCCAGAATATTACTTGTTCTTCCTAACCTTCAGAAAGTATGATTGAGAAGCAAATGGTCTTGATTTAAAATATAAATTCTTTAAGTGTGGCCAACATTAAAATAGTAAATTCATTATGGTAACTAGAACACTATAGTTCAGGATAATAATTAGAAAGGAAGTGGCAACATGCAGTAATTTGCCAAATATTAATATAAAGAAAAAACAGAAGTAGGATTTCTTTAGTTGGAAAGGAGAAATAGGACCTCTATTCTTAACTAAAATGATGTCTCTATACTAGCTTTTGAATATTGTTAAAAATATCACCAGAGACCAAAATGCAAGATAAATTTCTATATTTCAGAAAACCTACTTGAATACACTTTGAAACAAGAGTACAACAAAATAGAATATACTTCAAATGTTGAATATACAAACTATTATAGTTCAAATTTGAACACTGGTACTTTCCCTCTTAAACTTCAACTAAAAAAAAAAAAGGAAAAAAAGAAAGAAAACTCCAGGTATTTAAGAATTACCTGACAAAAATTCATGCTGAGCCTTAACTTCCAAGTGACAGGAGAACAGAAACTGATATGTCTGCACAGATGACAGGGCTGAGTGACACAGGCATGTTACAGCAAAAGGCCAGAGCCAACTGTTAATTTGTCCACAATTAAGAAACTGACAGACTTAAACTACCATATAAAATGTTACATGTAAATTCTATAACAATACTGTGCTAGGTACAAGATTTTTAAAATTTTTCTTTTAATAAAAAAAGCTTTACACAAACAAGCCATTAGCTTATTTCAATAAAGAAAACCGAAAATTAGTCTAAGGCCTTTGTTTTAAATCAGCTTAAGCTATATGATATTTTATTAAAAAATCGCACTAGATCTTTTTTGCTATCCTCTTTCTGAAGCTTTTGGATCCATTCTTCAATTCACATTCTAAAATACCTACATTAGCAGAGTCTTCACATAGCACCAGTTAAGTGAGTTCTGTGTGAACACAGTAATAATTGCTGGTATGCATATAAAATGCATCAAAAATTGCTATATGTAACAATGAGATCACCCATCCCAACCCCTCCCCATTGAAAACTGTAACCTCTTACAGAATGTTAGTGTTCCAAGTCTTAGTGTAACTTGATATTGTAGTGAGTTGCTTGGTCCCTTTCAATCCTTTTTTATTGATGGGTTCAGTTGTTTCCTAGGTAAGAGGCAGTTTTCTGTCAGCATCTCAACATGTAGTTCATTTCCCACTGAAACATGGGACAGGTAACTTATTTCCAGTAAGTTTGATTGTTTTCCTATATGCATTAAAAATGTTTTAAAGTCTCCTTTTGACTTTTCTTGATGACATCCCTTGCAAACATTTATGTTAGTACTGTTACTAACAGTCTAAAGTCCATGGCAGAGCTGCTCTTTTATTTCTCACATGTCACGAGTCCTTCCGTTTTCATAGTTACGGGCAGGGCAATAGCTGAAGGGGCACTGACAACCACTACATGGGTCACTGTCTTATTTCCGTCTGCCGGTTTTTCTTCTTGTACCAGCTGCAAAGTTTTCACGTCATGTTCCTGCTTTATTGTCACTGCCTCCGATTTAACCTCTGGCCCTTTTATGACCGCACTGATCACTCGGGGAGGAGTCTGGCCAGATGCCTGTTGAGTAGGCACTGATAGCCTCATTACAGGTGCACCATGGGCTATGGAAACAGGAGTAAGTGCTCTCACAGCCAGTGGGGTTCCAACAATGTTAATGCTTCCAGATCCAGTCAGATTTGACTTCGTCTGCAGTTGACACTGTGCAAGCTGTGTAGCTGGGATGGTGATAATTTTGGCAGGCTGCATGGTGATTTTGTCTCCATTTTCAGTAGAGGCTGGCATCACAGTAGGGATTGTCTGAATAACTACCTTTGGAGAGGTTGCTGTTGTTGGACTAGTGCTGGTTATTAATGGTGCACCTGCATTAACTGACTGAACTGCCACGGTTGAAATTTTCTGGCCCAATGATGTCATTACAACAGGAACTTGCATTGCCACACGAACTGTCCTAGTGAATTAAAAAGATTAGACTATATTTAATGCTAAATTAGAAATAGGTTTCTTGAGCAAATGATGAATGCAAATACAAAATGCATAAACTAGTGCTCCCAAATTTTCCGTATGTACTGACAAACCCCTAACACCTAGAATATGAACTACCATGAAATAAACATACTTAGAAAACTAAAGCCCATATTAAGTTCCATCTAGAAAACCATAAAAATCAATCCAGGTTAAATGAGACATCACCTAGTTTGATAACAACAAAGTACATTTAAAATATCAGGTACTTGTCAATTCCTGACCAACAGTGGGTTCTCAGAATGCTAATATTGAAAAAAGAACATAGCGTTTTGCCAAGGAGTTTTCTAAAAAAGCAAATGCAACTAACAGTTTCCCTCACTTACCTTGGGGCTGCTGTTGCTGATACAGATGTGGTGGTAGTAGGAGACCTGGACGAAGCATCATGACCAGGGGAAGTGATATTCACAACTCTCGCTACTCCCTTCTCTGCTCTGGAGCAGTTTAGAGGAGAGGAGTTTTTCCCACCACGAACAGAGGTTGCTTTCAGGAGACTTTCTGCAGATAGTGACACTCGTTCTAATGACTTTTCATCAGTAGCTGCTGCCAAATCTTCATTGCAGGTTTCACTTTTGTCATCATCTATGACCACTATGTTTTTGGGCATATCCTTGAACTGATAAACAAGCCTCTGTCCTTCAACCTTTGCAAGAATACCCCTTTGGTAATAATATCTGTAAGGAAAAAGTACTTAATGAATCAAGTATATTACCTTCCCCCTCCAAAACAAACAAACAAAAACCACCATGAAGAATGGGTAATCCCCAACCAATACGCTCAATTAATATTTGACAAAGGAGGCAAGAACATACAATGGAGTCAAGACAGTCTCTTCAATAAATGGTGTTGGGAAAATTGGACAGATACATGCAAGAAAATGAAACTAGACCACCAACTTACACCATACACAAAAATAAACTCAAAATGGATAAAGGACTTAAATATACGACAGGAAACCATAAAAATACTAGAAGAATCCAAAGGCAACAAAATCTCAGACATATGCCGAAGCAATTTCTTCACCGATACAGATCCTAGGGCATTGGAAACTAAAGAGAAAATAAACAAATGGGACTACATCAAAATAAAAAGTTTCTGCACAGCAAAAGAAACCATCAACAAAACAACAAGAAAGCCCACTACATGGGAGAACATATTTGCCAACATTATATCTGATAAGGGCCTAATCTCCAACATTTATAGGGAACTCATACAACTTAACAAAAGGAAGATAAACAATCCAATCAAAAAATGGGCAAAGGACCTAAATAGACACCTTTTAAAAGAGGACATTCAGAAAGCCAAGAGACATATGAAAACATGCTCAAAGTCGCTAATCATCCGAGAGATGCAAATCAAAACAACAATGAGGTACCATCTCACACCTGTCAGAATGGCTATCATCAACAAATCAACAAACGACAAGTGCTGGAGAGGATGTGGAGAAAAAGGAACACTTGTGCACTGCTGGTGGGAATGCAGACTGGTGCAGCCACTATGGAAGACAGTATGGAGTTTCCTCAAAAAACTGGAAATGGAACTCCCATTTGACCCTGTGATCCCACTTCTAGGAATATATCCCAAGAAACCAAAAACACCAATCAGAAAGGATATATGCACCCCTATGTTCATAGCAGCACAATTCACCATAGCTAAGATTTGGAAACAGCCTAAGTGCCCATCAGTAGATGAATGGATTAGAAAACTGTGGTACATCTACACGATGGAATACTATGCTGCTGTAAAAAAGAAGGAACTCTTACCATTTGCAACAGCATGGATGGAACTGGAGAGCATTATGCTAAGTGAAATAAGCCAGTCAATGAAGGAAAAATACCACATGATCTCACTCATTCATGGATAATAGAGACCATTACAAACTTTTGAACAATAATAGATACAGAGGCAGAGCTGCCTCAAACTGATTGTCAAACTGCAGTGGGAAGGCCAGAGAGGGTTGGGGGGCAGAAGGGAGGGGAGTAAGAGATCAACCGAAGGACTTGTATGCATGCATATAAGCATAACCAATGGACATAAGACACTGGGGGGGTAAGGGAGGCCAGGGGATTGTCAAGGGCGGGGGGGAAAAAGGAGAAACATGTAATACTCTTTGTAATAATTTAAGCAATAAAAAATAAAAAAATAATAAAAAAAAGAATGGGTAATAACAGAAACATGCACTTATTTCTATATAATAAGAAGGAGCTCTTCCTGCCTGGATTGTTCAAATGGCTGAGAATCATGAGTAGGAATGAAGTTGGAACCTGGTGCTGTAGGCCCTATAACCTTGAGATATATAAAGTAGCAAAAAGTTCATTCTTAAAGGAAATAATCTAACCTAAATACAGACTATTTTACGAACACTGATAAAAATTCAACTCAGATTTATACATAGATTACAAAAACAATGATGTAACAGAAAAATAATTAAGCTGTGCTTAGGAGAGATTAATCTGTGGGATATGTGAACAGTGTCACATAAATAATGTACAAGGACCCTTAGTTAGAAAAATCCATGTACACTACAAGTTTTGTGGTTTCTCAAACTGACAAAACTTGAGAAATTTTCATGTCAAGATAAATTCATTATAACAAATTCACAAGAACTGAAGCAAATTAACAATTTGGAGACCTTCATTTGGGTTTAATTTTCTTAAAGGTCTGTAACTTAACTTTGTATTATGGAATAGTCCTAAATACAAAAGCACATTTTTCTGGAGAAACAGATTTTCCAATCATGTTGAATTTTAGACATCCAGACCAAACTCCTCTCTCCCCATCTATCTCCAAATCTAAGAAGCTTCTTTAGAATACCCTCCAAAATTAAAAGTTATCATAAATAAGGGATTTCCACAGCTAATAGACAATAGAAAGAGATGTATAAATTTTGTTTGAAAACTCGTTCCTTCATGCTCTTACCTCAAAGCTCGTCCCATGGTTTCATAGTTCATGTCTGGCTTGTTCTTATGCTTTCCCCAAAGCTTAGAGACAGCCTTTGAATCTACAAGCTTGAATATGCCCTTTTCTCTCTGAGTCCACTTAATATATCGGGGACAAGTATTTTTATCTTGAAGTAGATCTAAAAGAAACTCCCACAAGTAGGTTGTGTTTCCTTAGAAAAACAATGACAGACATGGATTAAAAATTCATTAACATCATTAAAAGCAATATTTAATTGTGCTGGATAAAAATAAAATCATTTACTACTTGTAAACGCAAATGTACTAAGAATCTGTCATTAAGTACTTGACTATATTGGCAATCTTTGTACTGTCAAATTGTGTTGTCTAGTAAGTGATATAAAGTATCTTTCATCATAACAAAATTCATAAATATACTTGTTTGCTGGATTTTTTTTTTTTTTTTAGAAGGCAAAAGGGAGGGGGATAGAAACATCGATGAGAGACAGATATCATTGATCAGCTGCCTCCTGCATGCCCCCCACAGGGGATTGAGCCTGCAACCCGGGTATGTGCCCTGACCTGGAATCGAACTGGTGGCCTCTTGATTCCTGGCTCAATGCTCAACCGCTAAGCTACACCAGCCGTGCTGTTTGCTGGTGTGTTTTTTTCTTTCTTTCTTTTTTTTGTTTTCTTAGTTTTTTTCTTTTGTTTGCTGGATTTTTAAAATAACATCCTATGTATGTTTCCAGTTATGGTACTAATATAATCAAGATCCTACATTTTATACTATCATGTATTATCCTAGCCTAGATTTTGAGTTCAATAAAGGCAAAGGCATAATGCATAGTACGAAGTGAACTTAGAATCATATTTATTTACAGATTTAAACTCTGAAAATTTATTTAAACTTGTTTTTTTTATATAAGCTCAAATTCTATGATCAAAATTCATCAATTAATTTATTGAAAAGGGATGTTTCCTCCCACCACATTCCTCTCTCTGAAATAAAAAAAAATATATACATGACTTTGAACTATATCACTTTCAACTACTATACATCAAGATGTACGGCTGGGAACAGCTGTGTTGGGGTGCAGAAGAAAATGGCGGTCTCCACAGGAGTTAAAGTTCCTCATCATTTTCACTTGTTGGAAGAACTTAAAGGACAAAAAGGAGTAGGCGATGGTACGGTTAGCTGGGGCCTTGAAGATGATGAAGATATGACATTTACAAGGTGGACAGGCATGATTATTGGGCCACCAAGGACAAATTATGAAAACAGAATACATAGCCTGAAAGTAGAATGTGGGCCTAAATACCCAGAAGCTCCTCCGTCAGTTAGACTTGTAACCAAAATTAATATGAATGGAATAAATAATTCCAGTGGAATGGTAGATGCACGGAGCATACCAGCAGTAGCAAAATGCCGAAATTCATATAGCATTAAAGTTGTACTTCAAGAACTAAGATGTCTAATGATGTCCAAAGAAAATATGAAGCGTCCACAGCCACCAGGACAAACATACAACAATTAATTTTAGTGGATCTCAAACTTGTCTTAAATCAACAATCTTCTACTCATATTAATGTCTTGATTAAATATCACAATGCAAAATACCCCCACATTAAGTAAAAGAATGCCAGCTGATAAATATGACCTGGACATTTGTAAGAACATATTTAATATATGTATACACATTATGTTTTCAGGTAATAGGAGAAAAAATGCAGCACAATTTTTTTAAGGCACTGTCATTTCAACATAAACTGGAGTATTCAAAATAGAATTCAGGTTTACAAGATGAAGTATGGTGATTTTTACTAAAAAGTAAAAATCTCAAGAAGGAAAAAGAAATGGCATCTTTATCCATTTTGCTTAGTGAAAGATTCAATTTAAATTGTCTAAAGTAGCAGGTACAATGAATATTGTCTCAAATTGTTTTAATTTTTGAAGTGGTGTGGGTGCTGACTACCAGTAGTATAAAAAAATATGTCCAGGATTGTTTTGATATCTATATTTATAATAAAAAAATGTCATGGGGAAGGTCAATGAATTTCTGTTAAAAGCTGTTTGTGTTACATGTAAAAGACATGGTAAATATTTGTTTAGTCTTTGACAAACCATGCACTTAAGTTGAAGTGAAATCAGCAAAAAGGAAATAGGTGAATCGATATGTGATTTTTGAGATTAAAATTAGTCTTAAAATGTGGATCATGTTCTCAGAAACTGTGCCATTTCTATTATATTGATATGGTATATGGAAAGTACCTTGCTGAGGTAGCAAAGATTGGAATTGTAGGTCTTCATCTATAAAATTCTTATTGTTTATCATGTTTTGTATGCTTCTTGTGAATTGGAATTTGCAGAGTATTTTAGAGAATTACTTAATTTTTTCTTTGCAGAAGGAGGAATCCCAAGTATTATATATTAAAAAGATGTTTGAATTTTAGCAATTTTTATAGAATTATAGATTGTAATTATCCAAATATACATTCTGTTTTTGATTTATTTTTTTTATGGTGACACTTTTTCTCCCAATGCTTTTATTACTGACTGGGATTAATTTATCCATTCCACTTGTCTTTCACTTTGGCATCTGTGTAATTCTGAACTGATGTTCTGCTTTTACCAAAGTGAGAGGTTTTAAGTAATTGTTTTTCATTTCAAAGCACTAGGTATACTACTTTGTTGAAAATAAATACTCTTTTCTTACGGGTTCACTGCACAAAATAGAAAGGTGGTCAGGTAACAAGGACAGATTTCTTAAACATGCCCTGACATGTTTTTGTCAGGTTCATTCATATCTAAAGCTTTGAGCTACTTTTCTTATCATTAATATATTAAAGTCAGTGATAGTTTGTCTAAACTTTTAATTTCAACATGGCTATTCTATTCTAATTATCAAAGATGTTTAAAATAACACATAGAGAATATATAGATACAAATTAGTGCAGGTATAATTTATTAAAATAGGTTTGAAATGAACTATTACCTTGGAATACACTCTGAAAACTTTTAAATTGTTAAGGGAGATTAAGTTGAAGATTGTAATTATCCAAATATACATTCTATTTTTGATTCATAACTTTTTTTATGGTGACACTTTTTCTCCCAATGCTTTTATTACTGACTGGGATTAATTTATCCATTCCACTTGTCTTTCACTTTGGCATCTGTGTAATTCTGAACTGATGTTCTGCTTTTACCAAAGTGAGAGGTTTTGAGTAATTGTTTTTCATTTTAAAGCACTACGTATACTACTTTGTTGAAAATACTCTTTTCTTACGGGTTCACTGCACAAAATAGAAAGGTGGTCAGGTAACAAGGACAGATTTCTTAAACATGCCCTGACATGTTTTTGTCAGGTTCATTCATATCTAAAGCTTTGAGCTACTTTTCTTATCATTAATATATTAAAGTCAGTGATAGTTTGTCTATTTTATTAATTTCAACATGGCTATTCTATTCTAATTATCAAAGATGTTTAAAATAACACATAGAGAATATATAGATACAAATTAGTGCAGGTATAATTTATTAAAATAGGTTTGAAATGAACTATTACCTTGGAATACACTCTGAAAACTTTTAAATTGTTAAGGGAGATTAAGTTGAATCACACTGATGTCATATACAGGAGTCTGATGGTTACTGATGGTCTAAATCAATCTCTTTAATAACTTCTTTTCCACTTCGAAAATGTGTCTTATCATACATGGGGGAATTATTATATTGGTGAGCTAAATTATTCATATATTGGTGGGCTGAGACTCTGGGTACTCCTTGATCTTTTGTCCTCTTTCCTTTCCCCATATCCACTAATTGTGAAGGTTTTTTTTATTTTTCCCCCTCAAGTATATGTTTGAGTTGGCCCTGTAATGTTTATTTCCCCTTTTTGTTTTTGGACTGTGGATCTCTGCTGAAATCTGCATGTGAAAGCAAGATCCATTTTGCATGTCACAATCAAGATGTACGTGGCAATCTAAGACACACTAGTTGATTATAGAAGTTAATGCTGAACCACTCTTAATTGTAGTAACATTTCTAAGACAACAGTTTTAAAGCTATTTTTCGTTTGTCTGTTTTGTAAAGGGGCTAATGTTGTAGGAGTGTGTGGTATTAAATGAACTGTAAAACTGCATTTGAAAATTGTTTAAAAAGCTAACAGATGAGCCTTAGGGGATGATCTTATATTAATAAAGATTACAAAAAGAAAAAAAAAAGAAAATATGGGACAATGTTATTTTGTTTATGACCAGGGGATTATCAGGTTCTATGAGCAGATATAGTACAAGTGAGCAGAAAAGTTATTCTGGAAGAAATTTTTATAGTAGGGATTTGAAAATGCTTCCGGATCTGCTCAATTAGACTCATCTATAATCCTCAGGTTATCTTGAAATGTTCCACCCCACTTCCCACTCCCAAGTAAAATTAACAAATTCTATTTCTGGTTTTAAAGAAAAGAGAACTCAGAAAAAAAAAAAAGCCTTCTCTAACAGACCAGGTAGTTCTTTAAGCCTACTAGTATGTAGAATTATGATAATAATTCAGGTATATTCTGGCAATCTGATAACTAAAAATTTATCACTTTCACAAGTAACTGTTTTCAAATTGAATAGCTGGGTAATTTTGGATTAATGTATTCAAATTTATTCTATCCCCAACAGATGATAATTCTGAAAAAGAGAAAACACTGGCTGGATTTTTAATCCAGGTATGACTTTAATAATTTTAATCTTTACATTACACCACGCTGCCTCAACTTTAATACAGGGCAAAATTTTAAAGAAAGGTAATTTCCTTCTGTTTCTTTGTGATGGGGTGGGGCCACGACGGCAGCAGCAGGCAAGCAAGCTACCAAGGACAGGGGTGTAAGAGTGAGCACCTCCTGCCAACCCAGAACCTCTTGGGTGGGGCCACAACATTAGTAACAAAGAAACTGAATTTCTGGAGGATGAGGCCCAGAAATCAGGATTTTAAAAAGATTCCCAGGTGATTCTAATGTGCAGCCAAGGTTGAGAACCACTGCTCTAGAACAAGCATGTCAAACTCAAAGGCTAACACGGGCCAAATAAACGAGGCATGCAACCTGTGGGCTGAGAGTTTGACATGCTTTCTCTGGAACAGCTCTTAAGAAGGGTGTACATCAGATTCCACTTAAGACCTTTTTCAAAATAAGTGCCTACCCCTTTGCACTCCCCTCTTGTATCCATGGCTACAGAAACTCAGGTGGACAGGAGTGGGCATAGAGTTTGAAAAGCTCCCTGTTAAGTACTACTGAAGACAGTACTGTCCAGCCAGGGTAGCTCAGTGGTTAAGCGTCAACCAGGAGGTCACAGTTTGATTCCCCGTTAGGGCACAAGCCTAGGTTGTGGGCTCAAACCCCAGTAGGGGATGGGCAAAAGGCAGCCAATCAATGATTCTCATCATTGATGTTTCAATCTCTCCCCCTCCCTTCCCTTCCTCTCTGAAATCAATAAAAATATATTTAAAAATAAAATAAGGAAAAAATAGTTCATTACCAGCCAACCAGTATTACAAGTAATATAAAAGTGATTTATTTAAAAAGAAGAAAGAAATAAAAAAAAAACACAGAGGAACATAGTTTTTTTGTTTGTTTGTTTTGTTTTGTTTTTTTTAATTGTTTTATTGCTTAAAGTATTACAAAAGTATTACATATGTCTCCTTTTTTTTCCCGCCCTTGACAATCTCCTGGCCTCCCCTACCCCCCAGTGTCTTATGTCCATTGGTACTGCCACATGGGCACATACTAGAAATATTTCAGCTGACTGAAAAAAAAATCATCTTGCCTCCAAAATAGCCTTCCCCAAATTACCTTTTCCTTCTCTGGGTTTCTTCTTTATACCCAACTCAGGAGACCCATTGGAAATTGGTGATTGCTGGGTCTTCGGTTTACGGCCAACTGAAAAAAATAAGATAATGAAACCATACATTAAAAACAGTAATAATAAGCATGATTAGCAGATTCTTTGATAATACATTATTCATGAAGACGAATTTGTATATTACTATATTCGGTATATATAAGAAGTCTCACTTAAGAAGAACATTAAAAGCACTTCTACAATTTTAGATTACAGCAGTTAGTTGGTAGTAATCTCAATGTATAAGTCAGGTACTACTAACCTATTATTTACATGCTCAGAGCCTCAGTTTGCTAAACTTTTCCAAGAATGTGGCAATAGAAACAGATTCTACAGCAAACTTTTTTTGTTTTCTGTTCTAGATGATTGTTACAAAAAGCTTTACCTAGTTATTGCAGAGGACCTAATAATCTCACAATCCCTTTGAGTTCAAATGAGAAAAGGTAAAAACTATTGTTTTAAACACTCTCTACTGCTCTGAGCCAATCAATTCACCAGAATTTAAGCATAAGTGTTTAAATATCCCTCAAATATGCTGGTATACTATAAAGGTAAGAAAATCTTCCAACTAATTATGTCATATGTCTAGTAAATGTTTGTCTTCTGTGTTTTTTTAAAATATTTTTATTGATTTCAGAGAGGAAGGGAGAGGGAGAAAGAGAGAAACATCAATGATGAGAGAGAATCACTGACTGGCTGCCTCCAGCACACCCCACACGGGGGATGAGTCTGCAACCCAGCGCCTGTCCTGACTGGGAATGGAACTGTGACCTCCTGGTTCATAGGTCCACACTCAACCACTGAACCATGCAGGCTGGACTCTAGTAAATGTTTATGTCCTTACTCTTGTTTCTCCTTGCTTCTGTCAGAAGGCTCCCTCAGACTAGCATCCATAATGAACAGAAAAGCAAGAGCTATACTTCTCTACCCTAAAGAAGGCATAAGCCTGAAATGCACTGTATTCAATTTTCAGCACTGATGAATGAATGCTGGCAGGTTAAGAGAAGCCTCCACAAAGAGATTGGGAATATTCACATATATTATCCAGTAGTCCTCCCTTATCTGTGGGAGATAACTTCAAAGATCCCAGGTGGATGCCTGAAACTATGGAAAGTACTGAACCCTATATACACTATGTTTTTTCCTATACATACATACATACTTTTTCACTTAAAGGAAGCACTTTAGGGCTTCTCTTTGGCATATCTCAAGTGCCAACATCACTACTCTAGTGCTTTAGGGCCATTATAAAGTAAAAATAAGGGTGACCTGAACACAAGCATTGTGATACGACAGTCAATCTGATAACCGAGACAGCTACTAAGTTTAATGGGCAGTGAGCATATATACAGTGTGGAGATGCTGGACCAAAGGATTGACGTCCAGGGCTGGAAGGCTCAAGATTTCATCACACCACTCAGAACTGTCTGCAATTCAAATCTGATGAATCATTCATTTGTGGACTTTTTCATTTAATGTGTTCAGACCTGGGTTGACCATGGGTAACTAAAACCAGGGAACTAAGTTTAATGGGCAGTGAGCATATATACAGTGTGGAGATGCTGGACCAAAGGATTGACGTCCAGGGCTGGAAGGCTCAAGATTTCATCACACCACTCAGAACTGTCTGCAATTCAAATCTGATGAATCATTCATTTGTGGACTTTTTCATTTAATGTGTTCAGACCTGGGTTGACCATGGGTAACTAAAACCGTGGAAAGCAAAGCCAGGAATGTGGAGACTGCTGTATTTTCAGAGATCTTTGATGTTACTATTGCTGTTTTGGGGTGCCATGAATCACACCCACATAAGCCAGTGAACTTAATTGATAAATGTTATGTGTGTTCTGACTTCTTCCACTAGCTGATCCCCATCTCTCCCCTCTCCTCAGGCCTCCCTATCCCCTGACACAAAATATTGAAACTAGGCTAATCCTACAATGGCTTCTACATATTCAAATGAAAGAAAGAGTCAATCAGTGCAGCAAACTTCATTGTTGTCTTATTGTAAGGAATTGCCAGTCACCACAACCTTCAGTGACCACCACCCCCATCAGTTAGTAGCCATTAACATCATGGCAAGATCCTCCACCAGCAAGAAGATTCCAACTTGCTGAAGGCTCAAGTGATGGATAGCATTTTTTAGCAATAAAGTGTTTTTAATTAAGGTATATACATTGTTTTTTTTAAGCTATAATGCTATTTAATACACACTTAATAGTATAAATATAACTTTTATGTGCACTGGAAACCAAAAAATTTGTGTGACTCACTTTATTGTAATGGTCTGAAACTAAACCAGTAATATCTGAGGTATGCCTGTATATTATTACAGATTTTGTGATTGTCATACACTGGGATTTATTTTGTCACTCTACTCTTCATTAGCAAGGACTATTTTCAACCAAATAAAGAACTAAATTAAGGTACCTACCTTAATTCATATCTTCAAATGCATAAATACTATGATCTAGGATTTCATTATGTTAATTCTAATCAATAAGAAGTATGCTTTGCCAAAATAAAAACAGCAAGTTCACTGGCTTCCTTGTTAAAATAGAATTTAATTTCTCAATGTAATGATATTTATATGTACAAATCAATCAGTAATAATACAGACATCTTTACTGTATCCTACATCACAAAATAGCCCACTTCCTTAATGGAAAGGTTAGCCCATAAAGCAGTGGTTCTCAACCTTGGCTGCACATTAGAATCACATGGGAATCTTTTTAAAATCCTTATTTCTGGGCCTCATCCTCCGGAAATTCTGTTTCTTTG